CCGCCAGTGAGACCGGGGCCCTGAGCAGGGCGGGGGTTGGCTGGGGACTGGGCCTGGAGCGCGCGGGCCCTGGCCTCCGCCCTCTGACCTTTCCCCTTGCAGGCGACCATGGGGAACGTGTTGGCCGCTAGCTCGCCGCCCGCAGGGCCACCGCCTGCGCCCGCCCTCGTGGGACTGCCGCCGCCTCCACCCTCTCCTCCGGGCTTCACGCTGCCGCCGCTCGGGGGCGGCCTGGGCGCTGGGGCTGGCGCGGGTCGGGGTTCAGAACGGACCCCTGGGACTGCAGCCGCCAGCACCGCAGGGACCGCGGACGATGGGGCCTGCGGCTGCCTGCCCAACCCGGGCACGTTCGAGGAGTGCCACCGGAAGTGCAAGGGTGAGGGGCGAGGGGGTGTGATGGCCCCGGATCTCGGGGAAAGGAAGAGTGCATTGAGGCAACCTTGGGAATTGGCACCGACTTTTGGAATTATTTAACAGAGCGTTAGGAGTTGACGTTGGGATCGAATGGTGGAACGTTGGACTTGGGGCTTAGAACGATGGGATCAAATGGTGGAACCTCGAGATGGAATGGCATAAGAGTAGAGAAAAGCCTTAGGGACCTCAGGAGCCCCAGGGATCAGACAAGCCAGCCTCTTCATGTGATCCGCAAAGAAACTGAGGCCCAAGGTCACAGTGTCAGCAGGGATCTAGTGGGGATGGAACCCCCAGAGCTGCTGGATTCTGGCTTAGAATAATTGTGATAGCAAAAGTGATGGAGATTTATTGAGTAGTGTTCCTGCATTCAGTGTATGTTAACTCGGTAAGCCTTTGCAGTGTTTCCACGTGGTTAGCGTCATCTTACAGGTGACAAGTTTGAAATAGATGAAGTAACTTACCTAAAAGCACACAGTAGTAGGTCATGGCACTGGGATTTGGATGCAGCAAAGGCTCTGGTGTTGGCCCCTTCCATTAGGCTACACTGCCATTTTGCTGGTTGGATACTTTGTGGGAACCTCCTGCTGTGGTTCCTTGGAGAAGGGAGAGTTGGGATGAGAGTAGGGTGTGTGTGTGTGACAGCATTTCTCTTCTTCAGAGCTCTTTCCTATTCAGATGGAAGGTGTCAAGCTCACAGTCAACAAAGGGTTGAGTAACCATTTCCAGGTGAGCCTTCCTCCCTCCAGAGGTCATCCCAGCCATCCCCCTGCATCTTTGCATACAACCCCCTTACTCCTCCCAAAAGGGCTGAGCTCCTTGGTACTTAAAAAGACTCAGAGACACAGTGCCAGGCTGACTTCTCAGTGGGGGCTGGTGGTAGTGTTTAAGGACCCAGAATCCAGAGATACCCCTTCCCCCTTAACATCCAGGCAGAAGTGAAGTGCCAGGTATGTAGTCCCACCCCTAGCACATTCATTCTCTAAATCTCTAATCTAGTCTGGCCACACCTCCAAGTCTTTACTCCCTACCCTGCCCAAAGATACCTGTCTTTTCCTCCTGGATAGGGAAGCCCAACAGGCAAACACCCCCCATACCAGGCTGGAGGTGGGCTCAGCTGGGTTTGTTAGGGTGGTGGCCTACAGCCTCAAACCCACAGCCCTCCTTCTCTCAGGTGAACCACACAGTAGCCCTCAGCACAATCGGGGAGTCCAACTACCACTTCGGGGTCACGTACGTGGGGACAAAGCAGCTGAGTCCCACAGAGGTGAGGTTCCTCTTGTCATTTCATTTATTGTATCATTCTTCTAACAAATATGTAGCCAAACACCAGAAGGCTTTGTCAGTGAAAGGCCAGAGCTTCTGAGGGTGTTGTGAGGGGGGGACTGTCTCTCCAAGGTGCACTGAAACATGGGTCGTTCCTTCATCCTGAAACCCTGCCTTCTTCCCAGTTCTGTGCTGTGTGAGGCTTTGAATGCCAAACTAGGCATTTGGACTTTCTCTAGGGGGCACTGGAGAGTCATGGAAAGATTTGAACTAGGGCAGGTCATGGTCAGGTTTATGCTTTAGAGATGTCCTTCAGGATGTGTGCAGAGACTAGTTTAGGGGATTGGGGGCAAAACTGGACGCTTGGAAGGAGACTGGGACAGGACACAGGTGGAGTTGAGAGACTGAATTTG